TTCAGGATACGATCAAAGCACTCGGCTGGGAGCTGCTACCCCACCCGCCGTATTCACCAGACTTGGCTCCTTCCGACTACCATTTGTTTTCATCGATGGGACACGCATTGGCTGAGCAGCACTTCGATTCCTACGAGGAAGTCGAAAATTGGGTGACTAATTGGTTTGCTTCAAAAGACGAACAGTTTTATTGGCGTGGAATCCACAAATTGCCTGAAAGATGGGAAAAATGTGTAACTAGCAATGGCCAATACTTTGAATAAAATGTTTTTTACTTTCCCATTAAAAAATAGTGTTTTGATTTCACAAAAAAACGCTCACTTCATACCGGTACACCTAGTACTCATGTAATGCATTGCTTGATCCCTAACAACTTTTGTGTGAAACATTTTTTTAAAATAACCTTCCCTCGTTAAATAGGATGTTTTGTCTGATACACCCGATATATACACACACACACACACACACACGCGTGTGCGCGCGCACGCACGCACGCACGCACGCACGCAGGAACTGCGCAATGTGATTAACTTTGTTTATTCTGTTGTTAGTAGAACGCTTGAAAATTTTTTTGCCTAATATAACATAGTTCAAAGTGAACTTTAAGATGCTTTTAAAGTTCATCTTTAACTATGTTATACTAGACAAAAAAATTTTCAAGCACCCCACTAATAGCAGACTAAACTAAACTAATCAAGTTGTGTGGTTTACTCCGTATATGTATATATACAGGATCCCAAACTAATCTTGATTCTCGAAATGTGCAAGAACACGTGAGACTGAGCAGAAAAGTCATATGCCATTTTGCAAAATTCGCAGTTGTTAGTAAGGAATGAATTATTTTATCTAAGCTAATGAAACGCACGGGAAATGGTATACCGGACATTGTATAAAGAAAAATGGCTTATTTCTGAAGATCTCCTAGCAACAATGAGCATTAACTACTTTCTAAAGGCGACGTAACACAGCAAGCAGTGAGGAGCATATGACATAAGGCTGTACGCCGAAGAGAAACACGCCTCTCGTCATGAGTTGATAATCATCGTTATTAGGAGATCTTCAGAAGTAAGCCATTTTTCTTCATGCAGTATCTAGCCCGCTTCTTCCCGTGTGCTCATTAGCTCAGATAAAATAATTAATTCTCCACTAACAATTGCGAATTTTGCAAAATGGTACATAACTTCTTTGTTCAGTTTCATATGTACTATTGCACTAATACTTATATGTACTAGTTTCATATGTACTATTTGCATACTATAGGAACCGAAATTAATTTGGGACACTCTGTACATGAAATAAACATAATATCATTTAATGTTTAGGTGTTATGTTATGATCGTTCTACAAACTTCACTACGAGATTCTCTCTCTCTCTCTCTCTCTCTATTTATATATATATATATATTTTTCTTTTTTGTTGGGTGTACAAATTAGTTCGGTCCGTTTTCAAAAGATGTCTGGCTGTTATGAATGTTTCATAGTGACAGCTGATTTCGGTGGTTTTAGAGAGGTTATACATCTGTCAATAATATTCGGTTTATATTGCTTTAAGTTTTATACAAAACCCCTGTTTTTTACTGTGTTGAATATGTCAAATTTTGTGTTAACTAAGCAGCATTTGCGGGAGGTTTTAGTTTTCTGCTTTAATTGGAAGAAAAGTGCAGCTGTAGCGCATCGAATGCTTGTAGAAGTTTATGGTGACAATGCTCCAACTGATAAATCATGTAGGGAATGGTTTCGACGTTACAAGAATGATGATTTCAGCGTTGAAGACAAGCTTCGCTCTGGATAGCCAAAAAAATTATATTTTACCGTATGCGGTAAAATATAATTTTTTTGGCTGACGATTCCATTACGGGCCATCGGTATAGGCTACAATTGATTCGTTTGAGCCGTGCATTACGAGAAAAACGGCCGGAATACGAGCAAAGACGTGACAAAGTTATTCTTTTGCATGATAACGCTCGGCCTCATGTCGCAAAAGTCATAAAAAATTATTTGGAAACGCTCAAGTGGGATATTTTACCGCACCCGCCGTATTCGCCGGACATTGCTCCTTCTGATTACTGGTTGTTCTGACGGATGCAGCACGATTTGGCAGGTCACCGGTTCACTTCTTTCGCAGAAATCGAAAATTGGCTCCTAACTTAGATCGCCTCAAAAGACGAGACATTTTTTCGAGATGGATTTCGAAAATTGCCTGAGAGGTGGGAAAAAGTCGTAGCCAGCGATGGACAATACTTTGATTAATCTGTTCATTCATTTTGTTCTGAAATAAATGCATTTTTCCTGAGAACATTGATAGGTATCTTGCCTTAGACTTTCGTGACTCCCTTCAAGGTCATATTAGAAAAATTCTGCTAACTAAGACATGGTCGAGGGAAGATCCGGCCAACTAAGGCCTTAGTTGGCTGAATTTTTCCAATATGACCTTGAAGGGGCTCATGAAGGTCAAAGTCAAGGTCCCTATCAATGTTTTTACCAAAAATGCACCGTTTTCGAGATATTTCGCAATACTTCTGTCGGTGTCATTTTACCTTGATTTGACCTGTAGAATGAGAGTTACCCCATCAACCACATATCTCAACGTAAAATTTTCCGCTCTTTTTATTTCTGAGGTCAAAAATAGAAGTTTCCATAAAAAAAAAACAAGTTGACCTTCAAATGACTTTCAAATTTGACCTCAAAGTCAAAATCAAGGTCATCATTGAGTTCCGCCCTCAAAATCCTAAAACTTTTATCTCAACCATATTTTTTGCTAAAGTACGCTGTTTTCAAAATATTTCAGGGTATTCATACTTTTGCCTCACCTTGTATATATATATATTATCTCGTAGTGATCACTTACAAAGTACATCATTATGTATCTATATTAAAATGGAGCAATTTCCTCTTCATGCAGAAATGTTGAATACGCATTACTTTTAATTATCTGATAATTATTCAATCGTTTTGCGAAAGGAGTTCGTGAAACGGTCGTGACATAAAACGTAAATTTTAAACTATGTCAAGGTTATTTAACACTATTGAAAGTCATTAATCAAAATTTGTTTGCAAAGGAAAGATAAACAGATTTAAAATGGTTATCTAAATTTGTATAGAAAAGGGAAAACGCTGCTCTATTATATTAAGATATATACTTTTTAGACGATTATTATAAAATATACTGTGTACACATTTTTAGATCATGTTGCAATGGGTTTCTAACTTTTATATGAATTTCAGTAACCAATAGGGATTCATATAAGGAGCCCAGTAGCCATGTTGCTACAGAAAGATATTCACCTGTTCGCCGTGCTTCGGAAGGATCGGGTGCACCTGGACCAGCTATCCAAGCTATACAACAAGAATATCAACAATTACAAAGATTAGCATCTCCTTCACATAGTCCTGCAAGTATTCCTGGATCTCCTGTACATGAAAGAGGTGTAGCGGCAATTACGCAAGGTATTAATCTTTTTCTTCGAAAACATATGGTTTCTTTAATGTAAATTTTTCAGGTTATTCTATATAGAGTATTGAGATAAGATCACTAAAAAATAAATATTTTTCGAAATGTTTTATATTTTATTTTGATAATTTTCAGCATAATATATGAAATATCTTGATGACTATTCATTTTTCGATAATTTCACCTTAATATTGGATCAATCAAGAAATTTGCTCCGATTTTCAATAGGTGGCAACATATGCGTATAATATATGGTCTATTCTGTATTACTGTACTACTGAACTAGTGCAATACGTTGATGTGAGAAAACATATACTTGTCTCACTTCAACTTATTGCACTAGTTCAGCAACTTATTGCACTAGTGCAGCTATAAAGAACAGACCAATACTCTGTTTGATAAGAGCCTGTCCGGCATAACTCAAAAACTATTTATTGTAATGATTGAAAAAAATACATACATATTATTTGATAAGAACCGTAATGCTTTATTATTAATAATTTATCCAATTACCTTCATTATTAATAATTGCCTGGCCTTCGAGGCAGATTTTTCACTAATTTAATAGAGTATTCTCGAAGTAAAGATCTCTAGATCAATCAAATTTGTCAAACTAGCTATTAAGCTTGACCTTCCAAATCTTCTTTCCACGAAGTTTAAACTTCATGAATAGAGACGTTCAGACGTTTTCAATGGAATTTATTTATGTAGCTAAAAAGAACTGTAAGAAATTTACTAATTTTTTTACTTTAGCCGGCTACAGCACTGCCGTGACTGTGACAGCTAATACAGTGCATGAACGACATTTTCTTGTTTGTCACGCAGCATAAAAACGATTTCAATGTTTTGGATCATTGTCCTCTTGTAATAGCCAATATTTGTTTTTCCTTCTAAACCACTTTTGGGCAGATAGTAATAAAACTTTATAAATTTTTATTATTTTGCCGATGTTCAAATTGTCTATAAAGATGTGCTAAGTGCCAAATCCGTGCTTTGAGAAGTATCTCCAAATGTGCATTTTTACTAGATGTTTAATGGTCCGCTGGATAAATTTTGGCGTATACCAAATATGAGTAGAACGTGCCCAAAAGGAAGCTTTGTCGGAAAAAATTAAACGTGATCCACAATGGTCAGTTGGAGTATGTTTATAAGAAGTAAGAGTAAAAAATTAATCAATCATAATCGATTATTCTCTTTATATTCGAATATGACTGGTCAATTTCTTATTCTTACTTCCTACGAACATACTACCTATTCTACTACCCATTATAAACTACGGTTTACGTTGTCCCAATCGCGGTCCAAATTTTCTTGCGCCCTAGCGATTCTTTTTTCGACGTGTTTTTCGGACAGTAAAGGTTTCTTAATTATGTTTCGATATTTCACATCATGAGCGCGTAGACATCTTCTTATTATGTATAATATATTCAGTATTTGCCGATATCTAAATAAAATTATCTAAATAACCATCCAGATTAATAAGTAGATCATCTTTATCTTTATCTGGATGGAAGAAATACAAAGTATATTTATCTTCATCTTAGATAAAAAAACATGTTATCTCTACAAATTATCTGAAATGATGTTATGGTCTATATTCTGAACTCACTTTTCGATCAATTGAATGAAATAATATGCATTAACCCCTTAACGCACAGTTTTTTTGAAAAAACCGGCCAAAAAAATCAATTTTTTTTTATGTAAAAAAATTTTTTTCTTTGCTTTCACATTGTTATTTTCAATTCTCGATTATATTCGAGTGTGAAAAATTATAGCAGCATAAAATACAACGCCGCTCGAATTATCTCGAGTGTGCACAGTTTGGCCTGTTTAGCGCGTTCGAATTAACTCGAGCGTACAAGTTACGGGGTTAAGCCCGTATCAGGCTAGGGATTAGAGATTAGATTTCAAAGAATCAGCAAATTTGGGTTTTATCTCCTTTGGTCTGTTCCGTGAGAAAATGGCAGAACTATTCGTCCTCTCATTCAGAATGACTCCCTCAATCTATTGGGTTGCTNGCGAAACGATCCAACATTCAGTGCAATTATAACACACACTATTAATATCGGTTGCCCGAAAAATAATTGCCGATTTTTTCATAGAAATAAAATACAATTTTTTTTGTGCATAGAATGAACTTTAATCACTGACATATTTTCCATTTTGTTTGATGACCTTTTGCCATCTTTATGGCAACTTCATAATTCCACGCTCGTAGAACTTCTGGTTTTTATCGGCAAAAAATTGATCCAAGTGCGATTTCACAGCTTCATCATCCTTAAAAGTTTTAGTCCAAGTAGTTCTGCAAGAATCGAAATAAATAGTAATCTTACGGCGCAATGTCAGGGCTATATGGTGGATGTAACATCAATTCTCAACCAAGCTCCATTAATTTTTGGCGAGTGACCAAAGATGTGTGTGGTCTAGCGTTGTCCTGGTGGAAGATGACGCCCTTACGATTGACCAATTCTGGCCATTTTTCTTTAATCGCTGCATTCAGTTTGTTCAGTTGCTGACAGTAGACATCCGTATTGATGGTTCGGTTCCTTGGAAGGAGCTCAAAAAATACCACACCCTTCCAATCCCACCAAATTGATAGCAAAATCTTCTTTTGGTGAATATCAGCTTTCGAGGTGGTTTGTGGTGGCTCATCACGTTAGGACCATGAACGTTTTCGCTTAATATTATCGTAAACAATCCATTTTTCATCACCAGTAATTATTCGCTTCAAAAAAGAATCGAATTCATTGCGTTTGAGATGAGAATCGCAAGCATTGATACGCTTCGTTAAATGAATTTTTTTCAATTCATGTGGTACCCAAATATCAAGCTTTTTAACAAATCCAAGACGTTTTATATGATCGTGGATTGTTGATTTTGGTATTTTCAACTTCTCTCCAATCTCCCACTCAGATATATGACGATCCAACTCGATTATGGCTTTGATTTGGTCATCATCAGCTTGCAATGGCCGACCTGAACGTTGCTCATCTTTGAGTGAAAAATCTCCAGAACGGAGCTTATCAAACCAATTGCGGCACTGTCTTTCTTTTAAGGCTTCCTCGCCATATACGTCACGTAACTTTTTAGCAGCCTGCGCTGCGTTTTTTCCTTTGCGGAAATAAAAAAATAAAATATGACGAAAATGCTCGTTATTGAACTTCATACTAAAACTGACGCCAAACTAACAATTTTTAACAAAAACACGTGTAATTTGCTTCTAAAATCAACTAAGAGTGACAGCTTACAAACGTCAAAAGAAAAAAATCATAACATTGACAGAAGACATTCAAACAGACGCTTAAAGCCATCTATTGGAGCCATCGGCAATTACTTTTCGGGCAACCCAATATATGAGCTCTTTTTGTTCGTAGTTGCTTCACTAAGTTACCACAAGTTACGATTATTCAGAAAAAATAAAAGCGCGACGTACTCGCCCTGAGAGAGGTTTTGTTAACAAAACATAAACTATTACTCGCCCGACCGTTGCCAATACAACCAACATTTGTGCGCCATACATCTCTCTCATTCAACTGTTTCAACCGTCTTCTTTCGCCTTGTGTCCTCCCAACTTCACTGCACGACTCCACAAGAGTCCAAGCTCTTCCAAATTTCCTATCTAGACTTGTAACATTTCATTCTCGGTCTTGGAACTAAAGTAAAAAAGTTAGTAAATTTCTTACAGTTCTTTTTAGCTGCACTGTTAAATTGGTGTATATAATAAGTTAAAGCGAAACAAAATATATTTGCCTCACTGTAAGTTATTGCATCAGTTATTGCACAGCAGTGCAACTAAAAAGAACAGACCATTTGTTTCAATTGATCAATCCACTTTAAGCCCGTATCAAACACATTTATATTCATATCAATATTATATTAAACCGGAAGCCATCGACTTATGCATTCACACTTAACCTTCCGTCTCGTATAAATTTCATGTCGTATTGAATTGTAATCGTCTTATGTAACTTTTTATAGTGTCTATGACGTTATGTGTATTTTTCCTAATGCAAGTATTACGAAGAGTATTATACTGTTAGAATATTACATTGTTATAAAGTTCTATAAAGATTTAATTACAGTAAAGTTTTTGTTTTGTTATTGAATCAAACTTTTAAGTCAACTGTGAAGGCTGACCCGACTGCCAATTACACCTACCAACTCTTAATTGACCAATTTTAATAGACTAGTTATATGACGCTTCATTATGATAGGCCCTTCAAGTCAACATTCGTAACTGCCAGTCAGATCGGCCTTCACAGTCAGTCTGATATGGGTTTTATAGAAGAAAACTGAAATAATTACTGCATTTAGAAAACAGCAATTAGTGAGCAGTCAATGTTTATTGATCTTTTTTATTATATCCTTAAATTTAAAGCGATTGACGTTGACGAATTATTTTATCATTGTGCAATTTTATGATCTACGTCATTTTTATTATGAATTTTTATAAAGTTTCTCATGAAAACAATATCATCTAAAGAATTATCTTGATAAGTAGTGCAACCTATCTTATCTATTATCTAGATAAATTAAAAACAAAATCCTCTTCATCTAATTTAAGATGGATTTTTCGGATTTTCATCTCATCTTCATCTGTCTTTCTGCCACTAAATCGGACCATAATTGATGCTTTCTTTATAAAGCATGTCTTACGAACTAACTCGGATTGATTTTCCCGTATGAGTCGTTATGTATTTGTCGCTTTTAAGGTTAGAGCATATAGCCAATTTACCTCGGGATAGACAAGTTTACGTGTAAATGTGTATATGTGCATTAATTTTGGTAAAAAAAACAAGTTAGGATTTATAAAATATTTCTACTTACGTTTTTCTTTGGGAAAAATTTTATCAATTCGAATGATCGAGTGACTGAGAATAGGTGAGTCGGAGTTGATAAGGCTTGGCTGTGGAGGAGCAAAATTTAATACTATCCTTGCGGATGATAATTGGCTCGAGGAATACTTTTAATAAACAAATCTTTATCATGGCTGAAC